GTTCGCTGTGACTCAATATTAATTTAATGACACTTAAATATTTTCATTCATTATTCTGTTTAAGACTCAGTAACAGACTGATAAATGAACAGACTACGCAAACGGCTCTGCTAAGTCACCAAGACGAGGCTGCGGATAATAAATCTGTTATAATCAAATGTTAAAGAACACTGAGGGAAAAGGGAGTTTTTATTATTAGCTATTTAGTTTGACTAATTAAGAACCAAATTTAAATTTGAAAATGTGACAACTTGAAGACTTGAAGATAAAAATCCTCAATTATACAAGTTTGTTTTGAAAATCTGAGATATCTATGAGCATCGAAAATTAACTCCATTTTTTTTTTATTGTAAAACTTAACATCATTAAAGCAGCACTGATAACATCCAGTAACTAATTACATGATGTGATGATTTTAAAGCGTTCTGGTCTACTCCGCTAGGTATTTCAGGCTTTTATTTTAAAAATCAGCCACAGATTATATCAACAGATTAACTTCCTGTTAATGAAACTACGCTTTTATTTTGATTATTTTATTTTTGCTAAAAAAAAGAAAAAGATTTTTAAGATCTTGTTCAAATTATTAAAGATGTTTAAGAAGCAGTTACAGATCAAACGTGTGTAACATGCGTGTGATCGAACAAATCTATTTTAAATGCAGCAACTCACACAGACCGCACAGACAAATTTACAACATTTATTTTTTCAAACCATGCTCAGTTTTTTGTTTTTTCCTGTTTAATCAGATTTCTGAACAAACACATCTGACCAATCAGATTACTGCGTTTGGCAACAAGTGTGCTGCAGTTCAAAATGCACTCTGGTACTGAACATACAAACAGTAAAATAATCCTATTTTACCTCAGACACACAGCGAGATGCTGCTCTGGCTCAGCCGTCCTTGAAATGATTTCAGTGCCTCCAACTCTGCTAATAGAGCTCAAACTGCCCCCCCCACACACACACACACACATCCTGAAATATGGACTAACGTCGCGGCGATACAGCTTCAACTCCTGATCAAACCATGAAATTCTCGCTCTTGAACATTCGATGAACCAATAATTTGAGTTTCTTCCATTTCTTATTTAAAAACATCAGGACCAGCTCACCATCTCCATTTTTTCCCACATGGTGCACAAAAATGCACCGTGTTTGTGTGTATATATGTAACACAACAAAATGTATATGCTACAATATAAAACAGCACTCCACCATTGACCTGGTCCTAGTACGGTGTCTCAACGACAAAGGGTATGGGACGAGTTATCCACACAGGGACAATAAAGCTAACGTTTACATATAATTATTTGCTTTTCAACAATGGCACCAATTAAACCTATTAGTAGATTTTTGGTGTATTAGTAAACTCTCAGTTTGGGGGGTGTTCAGGGACCTGGACCATGGCTACAGCAGCAGACAGTGTAGAGCTTACTACTGACAAAGACAAAAGTTTACTATAGCACAGGTTGCACTGAAGTCATTTGTTTTTTGAGGGGGGGGGGCACATGCTATTGTCCAATTCGCCCTGTGACTGCACCGAAGTTCTCTCAAGGTCTCCGTTTGCCTTCTGTTATGCACATACGCTGGGTTGTTGTCATTTTAACCAGACACTCAAACCGAACAGCAATTCTTTAGCAGACTGATCCAGAAAACATCAACGGAAAGAACAAGTGAAAGAAGGTCAGGCAGAGCGAGGAGAAAGAAAGGACGCACAGAGAAGCACAAGAGCCCACGACTGTTCAATGGAGTCACTCTGAATAAAGAGGAATAAAAACATGACCGTAAGCAACTCTTGAACTGCGAAAAGTGTGGCTCTGTCTAACAAAATGATACAATGAGGACAAGTACGACTCTTTATATCCTTGATATGGACCAAACTAGTGAACGAGAGATTAGCACCACACTGGATACATTAGTGTCAAACTTATACCAAGACGGCCCTCCCCTCGAACCTTGGGAGGACAGATAATAAAGTTAATAATGTAGATCAGTAATGCTGGATGTAGAATAACC